ATTGTCCATATGGGATGCTGTTTTTTAAGCTTTGAGGATGAGCACTACTGGCCTCTAATAAAGAGTTCCCAGCAGTGCTCTTTCTATATAGCTTAGTATACAGTGTATTCATTTCACTTTTACAAATGAAGATATCTAGAAAGGGGAACTGTGATTCATTCATGTCCATGGTAAATTTGAAGTTTAGATTGTTGAAGTTTAAGACCTCAACGAAATCTTCCAACAGCTTTTTTCCTCCCGTCCAGAGAATCAAGATATCGTCTATGTACCTGTGCCAGGAAAGTACATGGCACAGGTACATATACAAGTCGTCTCTGGACCAGATGTCTTCTTCCCATACCCCCAGGTACAGGTTAGCATATGAGGGAGCACAACGTGTTCCGATAGCTGTGCCCTATACCTGGAGGTAGAGGTTGTTATCAAAAGAAAAAGTATTATGAGTTAGAATAAATTGTAAAAGTTGGATCAAAAAAATATTGTGATTATGTTCGGATGTTCCTAAGGAAGCTAGAACTTTCTTTATGGTGTCTATCCCTTTTGAATGTGGTATGGAAGAATATAAGGCTTCAACGTCAAGTCCTACCAGGAGAGTTCCTTCTGGGACTTCAAGGTCTTTAATTTGAGATATTAAATGGGGAGTGTCTTTTACATATGACGTAAGAGCTTCTATGTGTGGACGTAGAAAGTGGTCCACATATGTACTGACATTTTCAGTTAAAGCCCCACAACTTGATATTATTGGACGGCCTGGTGGGTTTAATGCATTTTTTTGAACTTTTGGTAGGGCATATATGACTGGGATTATTGGATGTTGAATTTTGAGGAGGTTACCGGTGTTTTTATCTATAATATTATTCTCTAGTGCTTCATCAATGATATTAAATAATTTTTGTTGGTGATTTTGAAGGGTGCCTCCCTTAATAGGTTGATACCATTGTCGATTGTTAAGAATCCTCATTACCATATCTGTATTAAAGGTATTGGTCATAATAACTACATTTCCCCCATTATCAGTTGGTTTTAAAATGATTTCTTTGTTTTGTTGTAAAGTTTTTAAAGCTTTTCTTTGTTTGTATGTTAGATTATCATTCTTTATTTTATGTGATACATTTTTTGAAATGTCCTCACTGACTCTTCTTACGAAATTCCAAATATTAATATTTTGTGATAGTGGGAGAAAAGTAGTTGATTTTGGTTTGAAATGAGGAACTTTGGGGGGTCTGTGTTCCTCTTCAGATTTATCCTCTTCTTCCTCAGAGATGTGTCCCTCTGCCCATAAATCCTGGAGGTCTCGTAAAGCCTGATAGTCTATCCTTCCAATCTTTTATGATTCCTCCTAATGGTCTATTGCTTTTATCGTGAATTTGTTTTAGTAGTAATTTTCTGGCGAAAAGGTTGACATCTTTAATAATGTCAAACTTATCTGGGGGTGTTTCGGGACAAAAGGTCAGGCCCTTAGATATTAGATTTAATTGATCTTTACAGAAAACGAAAGGGGTTAAATTAATAACTTGTAAATCATTTAATGATGACGTTTGGTCATATATTGGTCCCACATGGTTTTTTTGGTTAATGTGTTCGGGATATTTTCTAGATGTGGGGGTCCTTCTTTTACACTTTTGTCTATACTGAGATCTGTTTTGTTGAAAAAGGTTCGAGTTGTAGGAGGGTTGTCTAAAAAATCTTTATCAAAACCTGTCGCTCCTCCTTCATTGAGTGTATCCGAAGATAGGGCACCTGTCTGTCTTTGGTCGATTTGACTATTTGTGTATCCTCGATTAGATGTAGTGTTAGGATTTTTGGGAACTTTACATAGTTACATAGTATTTGGGGTTGAATAAAGACATACGTCCATCATTACCTTTATATCTCTGTTTTTGAGAACGGGTATTGTATCTTTTATGAGAGACAGTACTTGATTCTTCTGCTGAGGAAAGACCAGGTTAGAGTTGCTTGTGAGCAAGTATTTCAGGTAAAAACACAGAGCCCTTCTGATGGAGCCCCGGTGTGGGAGGGGGTGAAACGCGTCATAGGCGTTCAGCAAAGGTTTTCTTTATGTGGCTGCTTCGGCTGAGGCCGCTCTGTGTTTTTGCCTGAAATACTTGCTCACAAGCAACTCTAACCTGGTACACTAGCAAGAATACTTTCAGAGTCTCTTACTGAGGAGAAAAGAGAAAAAGAGACTCTATGGTTTCAGTGAAGGCTTGCACCTATATATGAATAGAAAAGCCGAGATAAGGTTATCTCCTCAACCCACTACAGCCATCATTGAGTTTTCGTTATACCTGACGGCAACTTCACTTTGGTTTTCCGGATCTCCGTCTAGGAAAAAGGATATCAAGTCACTCTGCATTGCTCCAGCAAAGAAGATTCTGTCTTCCTTTGTGTTCCTCTGTTTTCATGTTCTTCCACCACTTTGGAACAAAGATTCCACGGAATTAGTACAGGAGTTCAGTTAAGGCACTGATTTATAACAACCAGCGTAAAGCCGAGATAAAGCTATATCTCCTGAATCACCTGTCCCCTCTAACCCGATCTAGTTACAATAGCTGCAATGTCACTTTTTTTTCCTTCAAGCTGGACCCCAAAAAACAAGGATATACCCCATTGTGAGTTGAATCCATTTTTTCATTACATCTTGATGTTGACTTTCTTTTGTCCTTTTTTCCTTTTTCTTTTTTTCATACACGTGTATGTTTACTCCTCAAGTGCAGAGCTCTCTCCTTTTTCTATAAATATGGATAATATTTCCCATTTATGTGGAGACTTTTTGATGGAAGGGAAATATTTTTGATACTAGTCTTTACCATCTGAGAATATTAAGGCTTCTCCAGGGCGTGCCTTTACACTGTTTTCCATAGTACTGCTTAGAATTATTAGCTGAATGCAGCCATATATATATGTGAGTGTGTATTTTGATATTTTTGATATGTTTGTTATATATCTTTTTAGTATTTCTACACTAAATATATTTTTATAAATAATTGTTACATATTTCAAAAAAGTGGGATGAGCAGCTCCAGAAAGCGCAAACTTTTACTGGGAAAGAGCTGGCTTTGCTGTTCTTCCCAGGTTTTCCGGATTTGGCTTGGGTTCCTGGAACTGGGAGATTTCAAAGAGCATTGGGAGGGATGGAATCTCCATTCCTGGGTCCAGACTTTAGTGGTGACCAGCACCGAAAGATTGTGCACCTGAGCACAGCCCTTATGAAAAGGATGCTGGTTCATGTTCAGGGTCCACCTTGGAGACAGAGGAGGTCTCTGTGCAGAAGTCAGGAGGGCTCCACCCTGGAACCAGTCTGTGTCTGGAGGAGTGTATCACCTGTGTGGTGAAGAGACTAGCCTGTGTGGCAAAGAGGACAAGAGCCTGTGTAACAAGTGTGTTGGATACAAACTGGGTGTTTGGTGATAATGAGATGTCCACAGGAGAATTGTTATTTCGCTGAAGTTATGTTAGAGAAACCTCACACGGAAAAACCTATGAATCTTTAAATACAAGTGGGCAGGAAGCCCTAAAAAGAACATGTTTGTGAGTGGACTCCATCCTTAATGTGCTACCATTTGAAGCTAAATCTATCGGTCAACTACTAGTGGTATTATAACAAAGTGGAAGCAACTGGGAACAAAAGCAACTTAGCCACGAAGTGGTAAGCCACGTAAAATGACAGAGGGGGGTCAGCGCAGAAGTCGCCAAATGTCTGCAGAGTTAATAGCTACAGACCTCCAAACTTCCTGTGGCCTTCAGATTGGCACAACAATAATGCCTAGAGAGCTTCATGGAATGGGTTTCCGTGGCCAAGCAGCTGCATCCAATCCTTACATCACCAAGTGCAATGCAAAGCTTTGGATGCAGTGGTGTAAAGCACACTGCCTCTAGAGGAGTGGAGACGTGTTCTCTGGAGTGACAAATCACGCTTCTCTGTGTGGCAATCCGATGGATGTGTCTGGGTTTGGTGGTTGCCAGGAGAACGGTACTTGCCTGACTGCATTGTGCCAAGTGTAAAGTTTGGTGGAGGGGGGATTATGGTGTGGGGAACTTTTCTCACTTCTGCTGGTAACTTTCCCACCTCCAATCTGTGAATGAGCAGTGACGTACACCGATGACCCTATTCTCTCTGCTTAGTCTGCTCTCTCCTCTTATGACCATATTTTAATGCTGACCCTCCCTCTCTCTGTCTGAGCTCACCAGTACAGAGAATTTCAGGCTTATATCAAGTCAGATTTAGGTACTTACAATAGCTGCTTTTAAAAATACACTTAACTTTGATTTTTTTTATTATCTGCGTGGAGTTTAGCTTTAAGCTCCTGTTAACAACTTAATGTTCCATGAATGCGGGCTTTGACGCACGCTTAAGGAATGTGTCATAAAAGTGTGTCACGCTTGTGGTGCCAATACTTGTTAATGGCAAACGCGGCCAAGAAAACACACATTTTTCATGCACGTGGACACATGTTAAACATGTAAAAACGTGTGGGGGAAAAAATGTGGCAAGCTCGTTGCTGAAAATGCAGCATGAGCTTCTTCGCCATGCATGCGGCAGTCCATTGAAGTAAATGGGCCACGTATGGCAAATGCAGCAAAAATTGCATGCAAGCATGACGCGCATTCTCGGTATGTCGAGGTGTCAACACGGCCTTATATAGAAATAAAAAGTAGTTGACTACAGTCCACTCTTCATTCTTGGAGAAAAATAATTACATATTTATAACTCCGATGTGCTATATGTTAAAGTGACATTAAAGGCTATTTTTTTCCCCCGCCCCAAATGTTAGTGTAGAGATTTACCCTACCTTAAATGATGCCTCTTAATCTGATCATCTTGTTCTTTCCTGTAGTTTTTAGCTGTCGTTCTAGCGCTGGTGCGGGTCTGCTTGCTAGCAGTAGATATATGCAAAAACATGCAAGGCTTTAATAACCCTTTAAGACATCTTCCTTAGATTTATAATAAAATAATTCACTGAACTTTAATTTTGGATTGTCTTTGTTTCTTCTCTTTGCAGAAAACATCAGACATCTACAAACTTCCACCATCACTCTTGAAGCGGTTCTATGATGATGATTCGTATGATGGTTTTGTTGGGCTTATGGGGAGGAGAAATTCAGGTAAATAGCACACAATAACGCATAAAATCCCTAAGGCTCAGTGTTAGTAACTATCCATATTACACTTTTAAACTGTGCTTGCAAGTGTGGTTTCTATTCTTCTTTATAGTAGTTCCGGCATAAGGACAGGGACATGTGTTTAAAAAGTAGAGCAATAATGAAGGGAGCAAAAATAGAGCTGTGAGCATATACTGTAAATTCCTTGTTTTATTTTCCCAGAGCAAAAAAGACAAAACCAGATTGGTCACTATGCACTAAAATGAATTTCCCCAGACCACATCGAAATGATGAAATTATGCAGCATACTGGATTGCTATGATAAAAACAAGTGATGATAAAATTCAGTCAGAATAGTACAGCATTATTATGTGTTTATAGAAATACCACATCTTCTTAAATGGACAAGAATATCATCTGACATTCATCAAAAACTACACCTAAAATTAGCTTGGTTCTAGAGTGACCACTCTGGCAAAAAAGAAGAGCTGCCTGTTACTAATATCATTTTATTATAGTTTATTTATAAAATGTAAAAAGGACATGGAGGTGCAGGGTAATGGGGCATGGAATTGCAGTACATGTAACATTTATACATAATAGATAGCAGTATGTAGAGTGGATAAAGAGCAGTCAGGCAGGAAGTAGATGCCAGCAGCAGCAGGTGCAGTGAAGACACAAGGCGATAAACTTTTCCACTGACCAAACATGTAGAAATCTACCACGAATAGCACAGGAATCACCTGTGAATCTAAATCATTTTCTCTTTTCTAGAGTCTAAGGAATTCTCCTCATTGCCTTTAAAAAGTAAGTATGATTCAAATAATTGATTTTAAAAGATAAGTGAAGCCACATGTTGAATAAATGATAAAGAATTAATTTACTTAGGAAGCAATTACTTTCACTTCCCTGGACGCAAAATGTTTTGCTTTAACTGAGAAAGAAGGCCAGCACAGTTGTGGCACAGGATAGACTAGAGAATGATTATTAATAACTACTTATTCATTTATTTTATTTTAAGGCTGAACTCCAGGCCCACAATACAAATGAACGCAGCTCTGTATTCGTTAATAAATCAACCTTTTATTTTTTTTTAAATGGCATGCAGTGTAAGTACATTTAACTTCATATCAGCCTCTTGCAATCTGCTGTACAGCAGAGCTCAGGCCTAAAGAGGAAGAAGCATCACAAGGAGCTAGCCAGTTGTGCTGCAGTACTCATGTGCTAACAAGGGACATGCTGATAGTAGAATCCAGAGCGACAGATATGAACTCATCAGTGTGCTGCTTTTCCTTTCACAGTATAGTCACTGGACGGTGGAGGGACAAGACCTGTAAATGTTAGTGAAGTTCAGCATTAGTCTGCAGGGAGTTTACAGGCAGTGCAGAGCTGTCCGGAAGAGGTGCCTGGGTTAGAAAAATGGCTCTACATAACTAGAAATCCTCTGGCAGATCAAGTAGTATGTATCCACATTTTGACAGTTTTTGACATGCTTACCTTAAGGGAAGCTTTAAAAGTTTCATAATTCAATGAAATTGTTGATTGGAAATAGTCAGTTAACATTTATCAATCCAAGATGTTTTAAACTAGTATTTGACTGTGTTCTATTTTGTCCTTTCTCATCGGCAAAATATCTGCAGTTTTTATGGGGATAATAATTGTTTCTTACTGATAATTTACAGGAGAAATGCATGACTTCTTTGTTGGTTTAATGGGAAAGAGGAATTTACAAACAGGTATGTATCTAATGGCAAAATGTTTTATAAATGTCTCTATTTTATGCTCACCTCTAGGCCTTCACTAAACCTCGGTCTGCTTTCTCGTTACACGTTACAATAACTTGACCCTTGCTTTACTCTACTCCAAAAAAACATATTTTTTCCAAAATTGTCTTTTTAAGGAAATCCTGCAAGCGAAGAAAAGGAAGTTGAACCAGATTCCAGGTACTCTACAAAATGCAGAAAGTAAGTTAATTGTGAATCATTAGAATCAATATTAGATCTGTGTCAATTGGTTTTTCTTCATATTAGAACTGCTTTACTCTCCATACAAGTCTATGGGAATGCAAAAGCGGCTCAAAGCAGGTCAAATTACTACATGTCAGAAGTTCAACTGCGGGACAAATGCACTTGTCAATGAATTCTGCATTATCTCAGAAGTGTTTAAAACTGATATCAAAAGCAAGCTCATTGACACAGCCTAAAGACCGTCGACACAGGTCCTTATTTTGTCTCATGTGGTAGTCATTTTCTTTTTCTTAATTCCATACAGCAGAATTTGAACATTGATACACACATAAACAGTCATGTAAAAAAAAGTAAGTACAACCCATACCCAAGTTGTTGACTTTTTTCAACATATTTCCACCGGCAAACATTAGAAATTCATGCAAACAGTGCCTACAGATAAAGGTCATATACTTTAGCAGATTGCACATAAAATTGAAACTGAGTATACATTCTCATAATCTAAATTAACAAAAATACAGATTTGTCTGTATCCTGTATTTAATCCTATATTTACCACCTCTTCAAATCAATCAGTCAGGTATTCCAGATTAAGGGGGTGATTTACTAACCTAAACACATGCACGCACCAGGTGCGTGTGATTTTTACACAGAAAAGCGTATTTATCAACCAAAAAGTCTCTATAAGCATGTTTCCACTAATGCCATATATGGAAAAATCATGCACATGATGCATATATAATGCTGCTTCACAGTTTAGACAAAAATGGTTAGCTCATGCATTTACATTCCTGCATTCATCAACGCAAGCAACATAATGTAGAGCTAATTTACACAACATCACCTTGCAATTCAGGGCAGGTCTTTGCACAACACACCTGCTGGGTGTGTACACACTACAAAGGTGTTTAGATTCCACCCATAGATCATGCTGGGAGGGAACACACTACAGAGGTGTATACATGTTCGTGGTGTGTTTATAAGGTTAGTAAATCAACCCCTAAGTGTCAATGGTAGATTCTTTTCAGGGAGTATGCAAGTGGAACATGTCTTTTTTAAACCTTGGTTAAACCTCCGAATATTCAGGATCAGGTGTCCTCTATGATGCATGTGGTGTCATCAGGCCAAGTTTGAAAGAGCTCTCTAAGGCCCTCAGAAAGAAGCTTGCAGATGTCCATGAGTCTAGCAAGGGATTTTAAATCAATAAATACACTGAAAGGGAAATAATCTAGAAGTGATAATTTTTACAAGACTGGACAACACATTGAGCCCAAGAGAACACATTGAGCCCAAGAGCTGACCATCTAATTTGAATCCCATTTAAAAAATCAACAATTTTCACAGGGGAGACATTTTTTTACCTGACTGTATGTTTATAAATATAGGTTAGGGATGAGTGAATGGGCTGATGTTCAGTTTGCAGCTTGTTCATAGAACCTATGTAAATCTCAAAAATTGTGAATTTAAATACGAACACCATTGGAATCAATAAGGGGCAAATCTTAAAAATCAATTCTCGACATTCTCAAGGCTAGTAAGCAAGGGAATGTCAAACAACGACTTGGGGAGCCCTGTCCTGCGAGACATGTAGCTTTGCAAAAATTATTTTTTAAAGGATGCAGTGAGGTGCTTGGACAATAAAGGTAGCACTTGACCAGATGGTTAGTAACAACTGGCTGATGCGGTCTAACACAAAGGTAAAATTTGTAACTGAAATAATTTTAAAAATCATAAAATTGTATAGATACAATAAAATGAATGACAAATTATTTATACAAAATTACAGTGTATTATTTCAGAGACAGCAGCCAAAAAATATTGTACCTCACTCCACAGTAAGTAAGCATTTTGCAAGACCACAGTTTAAAGGAGAACTATGAGATGAGTGATTTCCACTCACCTCATAGTTCTAGCCGACCTGTGACAATGAGACTGTCACAGGTCGGCTCAGTAGATCGGGAGGTGAGCGAACACATACCGGGTTAGCTCACCTCTCGATCCTGTCACGGCTCTCTGCCGTGACAGAGTGAGGGGCTGGATTCTCCTCTCCCCGCTCCGATCTGCCAGCGCTGACTGGCGGAACGGATGGGGGGGGCGGGTAACAGCTGGCTCTGCCTCTAGATAGGCAGAGCCAGCTGTCACTCACGCAGCTGGGCGGATCCCGACGTCCATGGCGGGGTCTGGTCCGGCTGCGGCGTCTCAGTATACCGTGAGCTGTAGCTCGCGTTATACTGAGCTTAGGGTAACGGGAGGACGCTAGTTTGTGTCCTCCCGTTACCCTAAGGAGAACTATGGGGGAAAACACTGACCCCATAGTTCTCCTTTAAGGGGGGGAAACCAGGCAGGTTTCTAATTAGGGAATAAAAATTGCACTGTTGGAGTGTTATGTATTCACACACAAAAAAAATTATGTAGTGCCTACATGGATAGAATCTAATCACTTGTAGTAGGCCCCTTTTTTAACTGGATCCACACCAGTAATTTTTAAATAAAAAAAACAACCAACATAAATGTGTATTTCTCTGAATGGACCCCGCTATAATATTGTTGTGAGTATGTGCAAAGTCTTTGAAAGCTTGGTCTGGGTGGAAGCCAGCCTCTATTAAAAAAACAACTAGATTATAGTGTATTTATCTCACTGAAAAAGCCACCCAAAATATTCTAGTGAGTACACGCTAAGTCTTTATACACTTTGACTAGGCCCTATTTTCCAAAGGACCCACACCAGTAATTTTCAAATCAACATAAGAGTGAATTTATTTCACTGACATAAGCCCCCAAAATGTTGATTTGGGTATGTGCAGTGTTTAAGCAAATGTACTAGGCCACACTATTTACCAGGACCCACACCAGCCAGCTTTTAATAAAAAAAAAAAATCAAGATTACTGTGTATATATTTCACTGAAAAGGGCCCCAAAATATTGCAGTGAGTAGGTCCACAATATTTAATTACTTTAACTAGGCTGCTTTTTGAGCAGAACAGACACCAGCCATATTTTATCAAGAAATAAACATTAGAGAACAATGTTGCATTATACAGCACTGGATATAGCACTATTCCGCAGACCTGTATAGTATAGCAGCAACTATCTCTCCCTGCAAAGACTATGCAATCTCTCCTTATCTGTTCAATGCCTCTTGACTCTGTATATGACTGACTGTCAATATAGCCGTTTTAAGCAAAATTACTGTATAGTGGTCAGAAATGTTCTATCCCTGGGCTTTGCTTCCTCATGTCAGAGCTGCTCCCTGTAGGCTGGTGGTATGGTGACTGATGAAGGAATAAACAAGTACAGCAGCAAGAGAGGTGGAGGAATCACAGACCAAATAACAAATGAAACAGAAGCAGGGAGCCCAGGTACAGCTTTCTCTCTAGCAAGGAGAGCAGTGAACAGCATTAGTGGTGACATCATCCAATCTCTTTCCAAATTTTGTAAGACAAGCAAATATCCACTTTTTGAGTTCTATTTTTTGATTTTCCTATAGCATTTTATTTCAGCATTGTCAGTGATCTGGTGTGTAGATATTACAACTCCGATTCCCTTATTGTTACATTGGAGCTAATAGAAAATTAGGGCTTTGTGTTATGGATCAATTAGAATGTAAACAGAATATATAGGTTGACAGAGGCTGGTCTAGGACCTTTAGTTTTCCTCATGAACTACTGCGGTAAGAAAAAAAAAAAATAGTGTGCTTTTATGAGCTGAATTTCTGAGCTTTTTAATTTTTAGTTTCTTTAAATGTAGCAAACATTTTGCTATCAGACATATGATCAGCATGTTTTTAGATGACATTTTCTTCTTTGTGGCTGCAGGTTCAGGCGTTCAGTTTAGGATGAACAACGCTGAAGGTCCTAGAAAATCTGAACAGAAACATAATCTTTCCAATGCCAAACACTGGATTTTTTACCACGGATGAAAAGCCCAACTTACATTGTAATATATCTTCACCTTTCTTTCCATTATGTTGATTTATTACAATATGATTTCTAAAACAAAAAGGGCAAGTGAACATTCTTCGAATTATAGTTGTCCGTAACTTTAAATTATTTATTCCACGTAATATTTTATTTTGAGTCTACCAGAAGTGATATTTGAATATTGTAATCTCATTTTATTACACAATACGACAATTACACTACTGAGTTTAATTCATTTGTAAGTTTTGTTATCCATATGGCTGAGTATTAGAGCAGATTTGACCCGACATGAAGATTAAAGGGTTGCAAATAGTAAACATAAACTGTAAGGACATAAACAGGTTTGGATTCCATGTGAAACGTAAAGTACTTCATTGTACCCTTAAATGTCACCAATAATCCTGTGCCTATCACGTTGCCAGCCAAACTTCAACCCAACAATGTAGCTAAAGATTAAACAATCACATCCAATAATAACAATATTTTTACATATGATCTTATGTGTTCTTGAGTCTTTTTCAACTAGTATGATGTATCTTTTGTTATATACAGTAACACTAATGCTATAATGACACAATTAAAATGGATTAAATGTTCTGAGGTATAAAGTTGCTCTTGTGCAAAGCAAATCATGTGTGTCTTCTGCCATAGAATAATATATTTTCATACCTGAACATACAGTATGTATATTTTGTGTAGCCTTTAATGCTTCTTTTACTGCAAATTTATGGTAAATTACTGCAGTCGTGGAGACCTAAAAAAAAAAGTTTCAAAAGAATAAAAATACCATTTGTGTCTGAGACCTTCATAAAATAACATGGATGTTACTCTCTGAAACAAACATTTCATAAAGACCTATTGTATGTGACTATGAACTGTGAAAACAGCATTTAGTACTGCAAAGTACTCTATTACTGGTGCTCAATTGATTGCTGCAACGGTCTTCTAGTGTTTTGTTTCCCTTGATGCTTATACTATGAGATTGAAAGCCCAGCTATCCCATTGAATCCTTGTAATCGACAGCATACAGTGGGGGCAGGATTTTATAGACTGAATTAATGTGTAACTTATCAAATTTTACATACCTCAGCAAAGCCAATAACTTCTAGTAAGTCTAGGAAAAATACTCACTAGATCTACAAAACAGAAACTCTTATTGTGACTGACAGATGGTATGCCATTTAGAAAGATGTTATAGGTCAGCATTTGCTAATTATACAGTACAATTAACTTAAAGTGACACTAAACTCAGGTGTTAAATCTTAAAAATGCATTCAAGTACCTTAAATATTATTATTTTTTTAAATTGACAATTTGTATTATTAAAGTTGCATATAGGAGATACAAAACTTATGACATCATTTGAGGTATTGAGAATAATCAACATTTCACCAGAAACCATAGTACAGACATTGTTCCGTTGTTTCACTATAGCGTAGAAGCTGGGATTTTCCTATATTGCCAACCAACATTTCTGTATATCGTGGCTATATAGCATATAAAATTACGTTCTGGCTTATCTTATCTAGTCAGTTCAATATCTAAGAACTACCTTTCCAATTTGATGCATCTACAGTTAAATTAAAGGTACCTTAAATATTAACAAAAATGTATCTTATTTGTGTATCACTCAGCTATTGATCCTCCAATCATCTCTGAGTTGGTCCTTCCTTCTGGAGGGTGGCTACTTTTGTTCCCCATGGTCCCTGTGTGTGTTGTAAAGAAGCCACCACTCCAAGATCACAGCCGTGATAGACTATAACTTCAGTACAAATGAGTTAACTAAACGTAAGATTGTAGTCCATCACAAGAACGAGCTTGGAGCCAATGGCTACTTTACAACACACAAGGACCATGGGGAACAAAAGTAGCCACCCTCCAGAAGGAAGAACAGTGTTGGCACCAATTCAGAAATGATTTGAGGATCTACAGCTGAGTGATGCACAAATATGATACATTTTTGTTAAAAGTGAAGGTACTTGAATGCATTTTTAAGGTTTAACTGCTGAGTTTGGTGTGACTTTAAAGATCAGCTTTAATTGAATGGGATATTTACTATGTGGGGAACAAAAGTAGCCATCCTCCAGAAGGAAGGACAGTGTCAGCACCAATTCAGAGATGATTTGAGGATATGCAGCTGAGTGATACACAAATAGGATAAACATTTGTTAATAGTTAAGGTACTTGAATGTATTTTTAAGATTTAAAGGAGAATTATGGGATGAGTGAAAAACACTCATCCCATAATTCAAGCCGACCTGTAACATTGAAGCTGTCACAGGTCGGTTCTATTGATTGGGAAGTCAGCGAACATATAACTCTGACTTCCCGATCAACTCCCTGCAGAGAAGGGTGACTGTCCCACAGGTTTTCCCCTCTTCCCACTCCATTTCTCCTGCAACTGACTGGAGGAATGGACGGGGAGGGGGCGGGCAGAGCTGGCTCTGCCTCTAGAGAGCCAGCGGGGTGGATCTCAACAGTATTGTCAGGATCCGCCCCGGATGCGGCGAGGCTCTGGACTCTCAGCATATAGCAGGCAGTAGCTCGCTATATACTGAGTTTTGGGTCACCGGAGGACATTAGTAAATGTCCTCCTGTGACCCTCAAAAGAAACATGACCAAAAAAGGTTGGCCCATAGTTCCCTTTTAACTCCTGACTTTAGTGTCACTTTAAAGTATGAGTACACTTTTATTTTATCATGTAAACAGATTAATTTTTTGTACCGTAGTATAAGTATAGCAAACTGGCAGGATGTATTTTAGCATCAAGGCTTTGAGTATAAAATGTTTCAAACTCATAATTCTATAAAGATGTTTCATAACAGTTGTATACTTGCTGCATACAGCCAAGATTCTACTAAAATGTGCTGAAATCTGTATGTACAGCTTGTGTTTTCTCTATGGAAAGTCCACTTTTAGTGGTAAACTTGACAAAAGGATACAAAAATTAACTACAAATTCTCTCCGGTATGCCTCCAGACGGTTAATGCCTACACAGCTCAAATAACAAAACCATTTATGCCTAGATTGCAGAACTTTCTACTTCTATTGACCATGGAATGATTAATAATTACATAATTGTCATTTTTAAAAAGTGGTATGGGCTCTAGTTATACCTGTTTTTACACTACTTCCACCCAAGGTTCACACATTTTTTTTACTTGAATCCAATTTAAATTGTGGGAATCATGTGTTTTATGAATAGACCCATATGATTATGCTTAGCTTCCATAAGGAGATTCAGTGTTTTAGTATAATTAGCTTCTCATGTAAGTTTCTTAACCAAGACTAATTAGTACTGGCAGGTGATGTAGCTGAAGCTCTGCAAACTGACTACAGACGTACATGCAGTAACATGATGCTGAAAATATATTACTTGCAGCTGAACTCCACGCCGGTATGAAAGACACAAATTATTGCAGCTCTGTAATTCTTAATACATCATTAAATTAATTTTTTAATGCAAGCAGTGTAAGTAACTGAATGTAACCTGGTGTCAATCTTTTGCCGTTCTTGTACAGAAAACCTTAAGTGTGAGAGGAATAAGCAGAAGAAAAAGCCAATTTGCTGATGTGCTGACAGTGAGCATGCTGATAGGAGTGGAAAGCACAGTGACACTTTGTTATTAATGTACTGTCACAGGCTGGGGCAGGTCAACAGGATCCTGTATGTGGGTAGAATGATGCTAGATGTCAAACTGAGGACATCTAGTGGCATAAAATAAGTACTGAGGGGTACAGCTCTAGACAGAGGGTGAATGTTTCATCAAAAGCTGCTGTTTCATTTATCTTTTAATTGGCTATTTATTTTACCTTGTTTTTTTTGGCTTGGGTTCTGCTTTATTATTAGTTTGCATTTGGGCACTATTACAGGAGACTAAAATTAATTGACTCCATCCATTTAAGCAGAAAGCTGGCTTAGGCACCTTGCATACCATTATACCAAGCCATATTTCCATTAAGACAAACTTTAAGGTGGTAGCAGGTCGGTATTTATGGTAGGAGAGACTATGTATGTGTGACGCTCGCCTGTATCGGCTGTGGAAAACGTGGATCTCAACTGCGGTTCTCAGCTAAAGGGTGAGGACGGGAATCAGATAGCAACTCCTCCACCTCGCTATGCCCAGTGTTGGAATAAGGCTGCGAGGAAGTTGCAACACATCATACCCCGTTTGCACTGAGAGGTTTAACCAATGGGTTTAGCAGACCTCAATCTTAATTGTATATAATCAATTGAGGACAGCAAGGGTCAGCAGACAGAAATAGTAATCGTATCTGATCAATTGTGGACAGCAAGGTTCAGCAGACATCAATAGTAATTGTATCTAATCAATTGTGGACAACAAGGGTCAGCAGACATCAGATAGTAATATGTATATATCAATTGTGGACAGCAGGGGTCAGCAGACATCAAATAGTAATTGTATGTAATCAATTGTGGACAGCAAGGTTTCCTACTCCCAGGGAGATTCCCGGGTTACTTGCGGTTTTAGTGCTGGCCTCAGATGCTCAGATGTGGTTTGTAGGCGTCAGGTCCTATGCAAGGCGAGTGGGGAGCTGAGCTGATCAGCGTCCTGCACACTCAACAGAAGACGCTGATCAAGTGCTGAGATGCGGCTTTTAAGCCGAGTGCTGCGTCTGAAGGGGGCGGAGTCCCGCGGCGCGCCTGCGCCCGATGTGGACGGTTTTCGAGGGAGAGAGAGAGGGATCTCTCTCTGCGCCTGCGCAGGGTTTTGCTGGACGGCGGCGGTGGACGTCACCCTCTGACGTTGACGTCTCAGAGTCGCAGACCCGCGGCGCGCCTGCGCAGTGAGCCCACGACCCGCAGTACCGGCTCCGATCATGGTCCGTCTGTTACAGTATGTCTCTCCTGCCATAAAATCTCTTACCCCGCCTGTTAGCGGTTTTTGTACTAAATGTACAGTATACTGACAGACATGCATGCATGTGTACAAAAGTGCCTGGTGTCGAGAAGAAGCAACTACCATGCACATGTCAGGAAGTTACATCATCCCAGTCCAGTCAATCGTATTGACCTGAAAACTCCAGACCCAGAAGAAGAGGGGGAGAAAATGGATGTGCCATCAGTGCAGCAATGAGGGGGATCAAAGACATTGCATGGCTGAAGAAGGGTACTTTCCTAGGTAAGAGTGCCATAATAATATAAAATACTGTGCAAAGGCTCAAAAAACAGTCC